CAGTTCAGTTCAGTTCAGTTCAGTTCAGTTCAGTCCAGTTCAGTCCAGTCCAGTTCAGTCCAGTTCAGTTCAGTTCAGTCCAGTTCAGTCCAGTTCAGTTCAGTGAGAACCACCAGGTTCTAGAACTCACTCCTGATCTGTTCTAACTCAGTCTGAAGTGAAATCTGTCTTCATTTCAGCAGCACTCTGCTGCAGCCGGTCATTAATTCATCTTATCCTGAGGGTCTGCATCATCAACCCCACCCTCGCTGAGAGCTGGAGTCCCTCCATCACTGCTCCATCAGCCTCGGTTCAGCTGATGTTTGTTGTGTGAACTGAGCCCAGCACCTGAGGGCTGAGTTGTTAACCTGCATTTAACAATGAGGGAAGTTCACAGCGTGCTGATCAGGTTTCCTCATTTTTACTTCCTCCTGTTTGTTACACACAGTTCACAGGTCGGAGTTCTGTGTTTACCTGAAGTTCTGTGGGAAACACATAAATGTTTATTGAAAAAACAGTGAAAAAAAAAACCCATCCATGCAGTTAATTCTGTTCAAAGTCCATGCAGAGGTTTTGAAGTCCCGGCTGGTTATGTTTGTGTGTGTGTGTGTGTGTGTCAGTGACACCTGTGTGCAGCTGCAGGCTCCGCCCACAGGATCACTCTGTGACACCAAAAGCAGAAGTTGTTCTGGAAGTATTTGACATGAGGGGGAATTTTCCAGCTCATAAACAAAAGAAAAACAGAAGTAGAGGATGAGTTATTTGCATTGGCTGTGGTGAAGTAAAGCCTGAGGCCAGACACAGGCAGCAACGGTGGCTGAGGGTGTGTGTGTGTGTGTGTTCTCCACTTCTGACACTTTTAATCCGTTGAATTATGTAAACTCGTCCAGTGACATAACATGGATGAATGTTGGCAGGAAGTCAGAAAGATGAAAAAAGTATATATTTTTGCGCTCTCCTCCTTTCAGTCTAAACTCTTCTTCTGTGGTGTTTCTATCAGACATTGTCTTTGACACCAGGTCACGTCCTATTCCATTCAAACCAGTGATCGTTCTCTAATCACCAGGCCGCAGGTCAGACGGTGGAACCTGGAGCTAAAAAACTGATAACTGTAAAATAACAAGCTGTGTTTCTAAATCGCTGCAGATTAGTTAAAAAAAAGCAATGGTTCTCAAACTATGGGATGTGCTTCACTGCTGGTACATGGGCTCCCTCTAGTGGCATGGGGAATGACCAGGCTTTAAAAATACCATCACAGAATGTTAGTGTTCACACAGTTAAAGCTGAGGTGTCAGTGTGTGTTTACAGGCTGCTGAAACATCTCTTATTATTATTGTTGCTGTTTTTTTCTTGTTTTGTTTTGTTTTTTTTTGACTGACAGAGATCATCTCTATGATAAACAGGACTGAGATCCTAGATTGAAGTTTGATTTGTTTCATTTTATTTTAGATTTATCACTGGTTTGTTTTTGTTTTTTTTGGTCCAGTTCTTCACAGCAGGTGGAGTCAAACCGTCCACTCAGATCAGAGCCGCTGGCTTCACATTTAATCCCAGGAGTTTGTGGATGAATCAAAGCTGGTGTGCATTACATTTGCCTGAATTATTGAACCACTTCCTCATAAACAGCCTCCTCTGCTGTTCAGACACAGAACTGGAATTTTCTTTGTTGCTCTGTGAAACAGGAGGAGTTTATTTTAGGAGTGGCTATTTAAATGTAAATTCTGCTCCGCACGATAAGCAATGATTTATAAAAAAAGGAAACCCAACTATCCAAAACTGAAACAAGGAAATGTTAGATTTTATGGACAGCGGAGATGCAACAACTTGGTAATTTGTGGAGAAAATTAAAAATAAAGAAAATTAAAATAAAATTATGACATTACATAAAATAAGAATATTGTTACTCATAGTTCAGTGATGAACATGTGGACCCTAGGGGATGGTAGTGGTACTGCAGGGTACTCGTAAAGTTTTTAAAAATATTTTGTTGTTGTTTTTTCTCCTAAATGTCGTCCTTGGCCTGAAGAACACCGAAGACTGAAGGTGTTTAAGATGCTGCTCATAAATATTTGTCTCTTGTCTCCCTGTCACAGTGATGAAGACGTTTCCTACTCAGACTTCTATCCCATCATCCCTGCTGATGTGTTGTCTGTCAAGGAGCTCCTAAACCTGGATAACATCCACAGCACCTGGTGAGAAACACTTTCTGTAGTGGAGATATTTGAACTGTAATGTTTAGGAGATAAAAAAAATTGTTCCAGCAAAAAATAGTAATGTGAAAATTCCAAATGCAATTTGAAAAGAACTGTTAAAATGAACTGTCGTGTTGAGTCACACGTCGGTTTAGATGACTGGAACATTCATCACACGGTAGTTCAGTCTCCATCCATGAATCATACAATAAATGGACAAATACAAGTCATCTTCATCGTCTTCACCACTGCATGATGCTGTCTGGAGGAATGGAGGCTTGTTTTTGTTTGTTTGTTTGTTTGTTTGTCAGACTGATGACAGAATGACAACTTTGATGCTGGCAGACAGTAAACAACAAAAACCACGGCTGTGTCTTTACTGCCGTCTGTCTCTGAAAGACCAGATGGGAACCTGGCCCAGCATTTGCCTTTCTGGGCCATGAAGCCAATAATTGAATCACCCAGCAGAGGAGTTCATCTGTGTGGATGGGGAAGAGACGGGAGGAGGCGAGGGGAGAGGAGAGGAGGCGTTCATCTGTGTGGATGGGGAAGAGACGAGAGGAGGCGAGAGGAGAGGAGAGTTCTATCCAGAGAAGTTTAGATATAGGAAAACAGACATGTTGTAGTATTTATTAAGGATGGCTCGATACAAATATTTCAAGTCAGTACCTATACTGATACTGCAACTTGTAGTATCTGCCAGTACAGATATCAGTCCGATACCTTGTTTAACCCATTGCTGAGATGATTGTATTAAGCTTCAGTTTATTTTTCTTCTAATGTTCAATCCAGATTTTTTTTTATCGTCCAGATCATGTGACCACCTGAATTTTTTTTTTTAATTATCCTCCTCATGGCCGCTTACATAAAGGACACACAGACTCGTCCCAGCTGTGAATGGAAGCCTCAGCTGCAGAGTGAATGTACATGGAGTTCACAACACGGGCGGTAATTTGGACGGGAAAGGAAATTGAAAAGGCAAGAAGTCATGGAGGATAAAATCAGACCCTCTTGAAAGACAAAAACCCATCTGACAGTAATGGGCCTCAGCTGCTGCACCGTGGCCCGGCCGCCGTGGCCTCTTATTAGACGCCCTCTCTTTCACCTCCATCAATACCTCTCTAAGTCCAAACACTCTTGACTCCGGCTCACTGTCGTGCTGGTTCTCGGATTTGCTCGTCTGTAAAACCCTCTACATCTACATTCAGACAAAATCAACTCCCGGGACAAAAACCTCGATTCTTCTCAGCGTTAAAGCAGAAAATAATGGATGGATTTTAGGGACGAAAAAAGAAAATGAAATTGTTCACAAGGTCGTTGACTCCTCAACGAATGACGCAGAAAAACCGAGCAGACTAAATCAGAGGTTCCCAACCACTGGGTCGGGGACTGGGATCTTTCCATAAGATATATATATATTTTTATATATATATATCTGTTGAAATTAACCCATTAATTGGTGTATTTATTGTCTAAATTGATTTATGCATGTTTCCCATGGTTCCATCTTTTCATTCACTTATTGTCGCTGTAACACAGTCGATACACGTTGTTATTTACACACCCTGCTGGAAGAAGAAGCCCAGAGCAGCGTGACTGAGATCAGGACAGTCAGTCATTCTCCCACTGACAGTCTGACTGACACAACAGTCAGATGGACTGTTCAGGACTGTAGACTGATTCCTATTGTTGAGGACAACCACTGGACTGAAGAGACATTTTCACTCCGACTGTTGGACATTTTAATATCATTCTTGTCATTCGTCAGTTCTACTTTTCCAACTCTGTTTTTTTCAGTTGAGAACATGTTATTAATACCCACTGACTGACAGTCAACTCAGACTTCCTCCCTCTCCGTCAGTGCAGCAGAAGTTTTTTATTTAATCCTAAAATTATAGGTCAGGAAAATCTATATCAGTGCAGATACTTCCAGTATGTAAATGAAATCCACAGCCGCAGGAAAAATGAGGTGTCGAAGGAAATGCCAACGTATGAAACCTGCTCTGAGTTTCAGTTTCACTCAGGGTTTTTTTTTTCATCAATATTTAATAAAAAACTGTTAACGTTTCAGAGACGATGAATGAAGGAGTTACTAAGGTTCAAATCCCCTGAGCAACAATTCAGCAAAGTCTGATCTAGTGGAGGTTAATCGTTACAAAACCATTAGAACTTTTTATAACCAGGAGAAAACACTTTATAAACCTTTAGAAATCCCTTTAAAATCATTAAAAAAACAAAACAAAAACTATTAGGAAACTCTTATAACCAGGAGAAAACACTTGACTTCAACAGCCACAAACTCCAACACGTAAAGATTTTAGGACTTAACAAACTCCAACACGTAAAGATTTTAGGATTTTAGGAGAAAGTAAATAAAACACTTTTGTTTTTCTTTTCAGAAACAATCATTTCACTCCTTTAACAACATTATCAATCAGCTGCTCCTCCGCTCTGGTCTTTGATACAACTGTGATTGACCTGAACTGTGTTGTAGGGACGTTCTGAGAGAGACGCTGGCCACTCGTAAACAACATCACAGACAGAAGTGGACTCTGTTTGGAAACGAAGCTGAAAAGGTGGAAATCGATGTCATCAGGAACCAGCGTTTGTTACGGACGCGGGTTGACAAACTGGCTCTCCGCCAACAGGTACAGGTGTTTGTGTTGTGATTGTTGTCTGTCTGTGGACTAACAACCACCTCTGTAGTCAGACGGAGTACAGCCACACGTACACGCAGTTCTTCTTCTTCTTTCTTTTCTCTACATCCATTCATTTTCATTAATGAATTCTTACATTTTCTGTTGTTTTGCAGAAACCAACATCAATTAATTTATATATGAAATAATATAAACATTTGTTCAGCCTGTGGTCCACGACCCAGATGTTTAAAAATGAACATCTCATTCTCAGCAACATTTGCTTTTAATACTAGAGAAATGAAGTGTTTAATGTATGCAACAAAGAATAAAAAAAAAAAAAACTTCTGCACAGTGCTGTACTTTTTCCCCCTTTACCCCCTCCCTCCGTGCTCTCATACCCAAAGTTCTGCTCCAGTGCCTCCGACACATTGATTTTAGCAGTATGCTGATTTCTTGTAAACTTTACTTGGCCTTGTTACATCTCCCCCTGCAGGCAGAGAGGAAGGCTTCCATGCACATTAAATACCTGCAGCGTCTGAGTCAGAAGGTTCCAGACTTTCCAATCCCACTCAGAGCTCACACCGTCTGGGAGGGCATGACAGTCAAGCTCTGCTGTGTGGTCCAGGGCTGCCCTCCCCCGGAGGTCACATGGTAAGAGTCCGTCTTCAGAAAAATATGTATCGTATTCTCCGGCAGCGACCAGGTGAGAGCCTGCGGCGTGATGGAAGATCAGGCGTCGACCCGCGGCCTGGACTCACTGTATGTCCTTCAGGATCAGTGCTTTGATCCTATTGGTCTTTTCTCCAGGTACAAAGATGGCGTCTTACTGACCAGCTCCAACCAACCGTGGAACTTCAGCCGTCGACAAAGATTTGGTCTCAACTTACTGGAGATCAGATGGTAGGACACGTTATATTTACACTGAGGGCATGAATAAAAACAGGATCTTAAACTGGTAAACAAAACTATTTAAATTTTTTTTTTTTTTTTTTTGAGAAACCTGATGATTAAACTGGTAAACAAAACTATTTAAATGTTTGTTTTTTGAGAAACCTGTTCTGATGGTTGAAGACATCAACAGGTTCTGATCTAGAACCATCTGTTTATTTTTCTTTGCCAAAAAAAAAAGAAAAACAGAACTCATGTTTAAAGGAATTGAATCTCAAATATATACAGAGTATTATATGTTGGTATTTAACACAGTGTCGTGTTTGTGAAGGTGCTCCCCCAGTGACGGCGGCGAGTATAAAGCGGTCGCCAAGAGTCGTCTGGGTGAAGCTACAACCTTTGCTACAGTAGTGGTGAACTGTGAGTATAGCTTCATTGTCATTTTTCTTCCAAGCGATGACTGTGACGTGTGTCAGCAGTAGTCCTGTCTACAAATATAGGGGGCGGTAGAGAAGAAGACTGGGGACGACTCGTCTGTAGAGTTATTGACGTCCCAACACATCTGGTCCACGTGTGCTCCCGTTGCCAAGCAACGACATTTTGTTGCCAGACTCACTGTTTTCTTGTTTCTGTGCAATGACAATAAAGCGAGTCTTGACCCCTTGACCTTGATCTCTAAAAGTTCCGTCCACAAAGGTAAAAATTAAAGTTTGACTGAATTTTTTTTTTTTTTCATTTTCAACCCCTTTGGGCCCTGTGTCATGTGACCGTTGAGACGCCATATTGGGATAAGAATCAACGCTGCTAGTATAATGAGGAAAGACAGATCTCAGAGTGACACTCCAGTATGATAAATCATCGCGGTGACGGTCGGTGGTGACTAATAAGTGTCACAGCCGGCCTTGTGGCCTTATCGCTGGGTGGCAGAAACATTCATAATAATAATGTGATGATTCCTCTTAAGTGACGTGCCCTTTCTCCGTGGCCCTCCTGGCATGAACGTCTCCTAACACTGTTGATCATTAAGGGTGGGGGGGGGCGTTATCAGGCTTTCTCATTTCTCATCTCAGTCTACTTTTTTTTTTGCGCTTGTTATAAATGGATTAAAGAACTATTAGATGTGACTTGCATTAATCTCTCTGACCCGTTCTGTCCCTCTGTCCAATCTTTCTGGGGCCGTCTCTCTCTCTCTCTCTCTCTCTCTCTCTGTGATTCAGCATATCAAGGAGCAGCAGCTGGAGCCCAGAGCTGGCAGACACCCGGTAAGTTTCAGAGCGAAGCCTAATGGAAAGTGTCTCCTTTCAATTTCTCTGCCAACCTTTGAAGTCCCCCCCACCACCACCACCACCACCTCAACAGGAGATGAGGGTGGGCATCAGGAGGACGCTCCGCCTCGTGAAGGAAGATACGGGTGGAGGTGAAGCGGCAGCGGTGGTTCATTAGAGGGGGCTGTTTGTTTCCTGTGTGACTGTACTGTATACAAATGTGGAAACACAACAGCAGTAGCTGCAGAACATGGCCGTGTGTGTGTGATTTATTCTCTTTCGCTGCCAGCAGTAGAGGCCGTGATTCTCCCTCCTCTAGATCATCCAACACCGTGCATATGGATGAGGACACTTTGATCCAGGCTCTGCTCTCATTTACAGTTCATTATCCCAGCTCTGCTCTATGACTGTTTCACCTGGTATTAAACCATTATTTGACAAAGGGCTTCAGTCCTGAACAATCCACCTGACTGTTGTGTCAGTCAGCTACTCCCCTCTTGAAAACAAACTGACTTTCTGTCTTTGATTTTTTGACTAACTAATTTAGTCATTTTAATTACGTCACCTTCTTTACGTCCAGCTCCACAGGACCAGGGGGAGGAGGCGCTCTTTGGCTCCTGCTTCCCTCCAACATGGGTGAAAGAAGGAAAGGTCCTCCACCTGGAGTGTGTCTTCACTGCACCTCTGCTGCCCTACCAGCAGGACGTCAGCTGGTTCAGAGACGGTAAATATATACAGTACATGTCAAATGTAACGGATCATGAACGCTGACGTTGCTCCATACGATACAATACGATGTGCTGACATCGGATGTCCGATAATAACTTTTTGCCGATATCCAATATGCCGATATTGTCCAAACACTTCATTTTCCGATTCCGATATCAACCGATACTGATATATCGGGTTATTGGTAGAAGTTAAGTGTTGACTGTTAACTAATGTTAGCATTAATAACTATTCCTACAGATCTTACAAAATATGCTAATACCAGGCCGATAATATTGGTCGGCCTGATATTATCGCACATTCCTACATACGATATGATACGATAAAATATGATGCGCTGTATGATACGATACAATACAACACTACACCATAAATCGTGTTCAGATGTTGAAATTCTGAACATTTGTTTGTCTGTTTGTTGTTAGGTGAACAGCTGCTCCAGTCTGACACCGTGGACGTTCACACCGAGGGCGACAGAACGGCGTTGACTTTGAACGCCGCTCACAAAGAACATGAAGGCGTTTACACTGTGAAGTTGAAGACCTTTGATTCGCTCCTGGAACACAGTGCTTTTGTCTACATCCAAGGTGAGGAGGAGGAGGAGCAGGAGGAGGAAGAGGAGATGCTGTCAGTGTTGCTGTTTATCTCCAATTAATGAGTGAAATTACTGAGGTGTAAGATGTAGTTTTTGTCTAAAATCAACAGTTTTGAGACCCTTTAATTTAAGCAGTACTTCCTGTCAAACAACATTAAAAATAAAGGGTCAAATCTAGAAGGTTCTGTTAACACTTCATCGACCAGGTAGTTAATTCAGAGCTGAGTCCTGTTGGCTCTGTCTGGAACTGATGACTAGAACTGTTGGGAACTGTTGTCTCCAAGACCTTACAGACCTGGAGACAGATTCACTGGATCAAATCTGTCGTTTTTAACATTTTTAAATCAATGATCAAAAACCTGAAGGATGTGGAGCCACAGTTTTGAACCAGTGAATTATGGGTATTTTTTTATGTGATGTCACAAGTGTGTACCAAACTGGAGGCGTCCGGCTCCAGTGACTCCTGGTCTCTTCATGTGTTTCCAGATGCTTCAGCTGCAGTGGTGGGGGGGCCTGCCTCCCCCCTGGCGGTGCAGGTGTTGGACGTCAACAGAGACTACGTCTTCCTCACCTGGCAGCCCCCCAGTGCTGATGGGGAATCACCTGTGGACGGCTATTATGTGGAGAGGTGGGAGATGTTAATAAGAATGAACAATCATCTCTTTTTCTTTTTTTTTTTCAAAATAAAACATTTTTTGTTATATTAATATAATGCATGTATTAAATAATTACAATAATATATATAACTATATATGTTATATATTAATAAATTACTATATATTTAATACATAAATAAATTATAATGAGTGTACCTAAAAACTAAAACTAAAAATAGCTTGATATGCTATATACAGTATATACATATTTACACATATAGTATATAAATATATATATATATTTACATATATCTTTAGACAATACGTGACTGAAACAGATATTTTGTGGTAAAGCTAGGCTCGTTTCTCTCTTTTAGCAACGTGACATTGATTTAATTTCTTTTTAAAAAGACTAATTTTAGACTGAGCCACGGAGCCACTTCCTGTATTATTATTCTGAGTCAGTAACAGTACCAGAGTAAAGACACCCCTGTGTGCTGCTGCTGCTGCTGCTGCTGCTGCTGCTCAGGATATTGGATTAGTGCAGATAAAGACGGTGAAGTTAGTGACCAGTGGTGGTGTAAACTCACCAGAGATGGATGGTGTACGTGGTAATTATCAGCCCTCGACACTGTGTTAACAGCGTAGTGAAAGACTCCCCCAGGAGAGGAGACGTGGTACTTATCATCAAACACCAATCCATCAGCATCACCCTGTAAACATGACCGCGTGTGTGTGTGTGTTCTTGTGTGTGTTCTTGTTTACCTGGTGTTTTATGGCAGTCTTTGATTCATTGTCTGTTGTTCTGGGTGTTTCTTTGAATTTACTGCAGCAGAGAAAAGATTTATTTTATTTTTTTAACATGGTAAAGAAATTCAAACTTTAATCTACCTCCCAGTTCCCTAGCAACCACTTATTGTTAACAACACAATCTCTTTCCACTTTTTGTTTTCTTCTGGAGGCAACATTTTGTAAAATTTTAAATGTGTCGCCGTGCAGATTAAAGTGTTTCACAATTGATTTTTAATGTTCACACAGCAGAGAGCTGGTGGGGGGGTCGGGGGGGTCAGACTGACCCAGGATCTCCCTCTGTGTCTTTTGTTTTTCCTCAGGTGTGACCTCAGTCAAGGCCAGTGGGTTCGATGTAACACACAGATCCAGAAGACGTGTCAGTACCCGGTGTTTGGACTGGAGGAAGGAACCTGGTACCAGTTCAGAGTCTGTGCTGTGAACAAGGCTGGAACGGGACGTCCGTCCATGGGCTCACAGCCGGTCTTCACCCAGGACCCCCTGGAGCACACCAGGACCATGGGTAACACTTTTGACACTGACATGAAGAGAGAAATGTGGAAATGTCAGAGTCACAGCAGTAACATTAGCAGTATTTGTATGGTATACACACTAATATACAAACATACATTTACTTTACATATTAGCATTGTTTTGATACTGTCTAAGAGAAAATACTAGTACGAGTATTTTCATTTATGTATCAGTGATTCTGAGTCCAGTATAGTAGAATACAGTGTCACCTTATATATTCAAACATTATATATTCATACATTTACACATGTGAAAAAAGGTTAATGATTGTGACTGAAATGAAAGTGAAAGTGAAATGATGAGGAGTCAGACCTTCACTGATCACCTCTGCAATTTTACTACTACATAGTACAGTACTACATACACTGCTACACACACACATTCATACTGGTACACACATGTTTATACTGGTACACACATGTTTAAATTAATGACTCCTACAGTGACCACAGGATTCACTCTGCAGTGACAGTTCAGACTGTGTGTGTGTGTTTTTGTAAATACTGCACTGTAGGGAAGAGTGTGTGTGTGTGTGTGTGT